AATTTTACCTTTAAAAATGGTAACTAGTTTCATGCCAATCATGTCTTTTTCTCTTTTTAGTTTAACAGAAAATGTATGTGACCAGCACTGTTCATTTAAGGATGCTTACTTTCTCTTCACTATATAAGTATGCCTAACAGAAATGTTGAAATAATGATCCATGGTTCAATGATTTGTTTTTTATTACTTTATGCATAAACACCCAGTCATAAATAACATTAAAGTTATCCCATGACCTTATATCTCTTTTTCTTTTAACATTATAAAGGGCTCACATACTGTCCATTTTTTCTAATTGTTTTACATAAATAACTAGCACATTATAACTCTAAACTCAACTGTGTATTTCAGAAGCTGTCACATCCTACCACCTCATCATCAGCAATGAGAAACATAAAGATGGACATAAAGACATTGTGAAGATATTTCACTTGAACTTGGTCTTCATTAATTCCATATCATGTTCAGTTCAGTTTTCAGCTAATAGCAGATAATAGGTAATAGCACACTTTGCCATGTCAAAAATAAATAAATAAATAAATGTTCATAATTTACATATGCTGTTTATTTATTTATTATGTAAGACCTAAATATAAGCCACAAGATATTATAAAATCAGGTAGATAGAGGGGTGACAATTAATATTAATTAATAATGTAAAGATATTTACTGATATTAATTGAAAATAAATTGTAACACCAAGTCCTATAAACTTGTCAAAGCACAGTTCTTTATGGAACCTCACAATATTCTGAGGATATTTTGGGGAATGTTGATAAAAACAATAGAAACCATCACAGAATTTGTAATGGTTTTACTGGTTATAATGGTAATTCGATTGGTTTTAATAGAAACTGTAATGCTTCCTGTTGGTCTCTACTGGTAATTGGTCTCCTTCTATTGGTGGCTTGTTAAAACCAATAAATCCTAATAGAATGTGTCCCAAAACACACTACAGAAAACCATTTTTTAATGGTTTTGATGGTTATTAGCTGATGGTTTGTAAGGGTTGTAATGGTATTTGTAGTGGAAATCATTCAAATTTCTGTGATGGTTTCTATCGTTTTTTTGTTTGTTTTTTCAGCAGGGAATTGTTTAGGTAAGACTGTAGAACATTCTTTAACCTATAAAATACTGGCACAATGTTCCATAATAAAGGAGGAACATTATCAAAACAACATTTGTAAAATGTTTTGAGGATATTATTCGAGATATCAATGAAGTTTGGACCAAATCTGAGTTACATTTGAAACTTCTGGTTTGGTTCTGGCAACATGTCTTAACACCCTTGTGTGAACTCTGGTGTGAGTGGTCAGCCATAAGAAACAAAAGATGAAATGCATTATTTTGGTTAAATGGCTTCTGCCTTGAGTGGTCAGCAGAAGTCAGCTGAATTCCAGTGTCTCGATTACAAAAGGAAGACAAAGTCTGGCATTTGGCTGCAGTTCTGAACTGTTGCCGAATGTGTTTACAGGAGATGAGAAGAGCTGATTGGGCCACTGTAGATTGATGTTTAAAACCACCAATCACTACGTACTTTTCTCGTGACGTAAGAACATTTGAAATCGACGAACCACATGAACGGTTGTTGAAGAAATAGGTGTAAAATGTTTGTGGTCTTATTTGACAGAACTAAGTGAGTACGGAGTCTTTCACATTCAAACGCGGTGGAATCGGAAATTTAAAAAAATGAAAATTAGATCATTAATCACTCACCCTAACCCGTTCCAAACCCGTAAGACCTTCGTTCATCTTTGGAACACGCGGAGGACTTTCCGCGGTTGAAACACTCATTGAGTGATTACATGAGACACTATGCATTCAGTAAGTTGTAATGTATCTTTCAACAAGCTCTCGAATGTTCATTCATGTTTATTTCATGCTAATTAGAATGCGGTCCAGCTTCACTTGAACTGAGGCAAAGCGGGAGCACACGTGAACAGTCACGCCACTAAACAGCTCCAATCTGTATTTATCATTTGAAATTATTGATAAAAGTAACAGAATTTGAATGCTGAGTCTTTGTTTCCTATTATCAAAAGTAACCTGCTCTGTCTTGTCTGTTCGTGCGTTGTCTATGTCCTCTTTGCTCTGCAATGTTTTTCACTCCATAAGAAAATGGTGATCATGGATACAAATGCATGGTGTATTTTGATGCACAACAAACACTCATTCAACATTATCTATTAAGTCATAAAGTTTCATAAACACATATATTCTTAATTAGGCTTTAATTAGACGCCATTTATATAAAAAATAAAGAGGAATAAAGATTGGATTGTGGCCATGATTAGCTTTTGATAACTAGATGTTGGTAAAACGTGTGCTGGTGTGGATGTTTGATATTATGTGAGACAGTGACATTTTGTTTTATATGAATTCAGTAGATATTCACACTCAAAATCCAAGGAATCCTGTCGCTTTATAATGGTTTCCACACTTCATTAAGCAGTGCAACCATTTTAAACTGTGATAATAATCAGAAATGTTTCTTGAGCAGCAAATCAGCATATTAGAATGATTTCTGAAGGACCATGTGACACTGAAGAGGAGACGTTGAGGTCTGACATCACAGGGAAACAAAACCTTTATTTTAAATTGTACAATTATTTCACAATATTAATGTTTTTCAATATTTTTTATCTGATAGCCTAAATGCAGTTGGTGAACATGAACAAAGAACCTTACTAATACAAATCCTTAAAACAGTATTGTATATATCATAATATCAAAACAAGCACACTTATGAACATTTGTTAATA